TGATTAACGTGGGAATTTCGTGTGGGCTGATCTCTTCGATGCTGGGAACATTCATCGATTCGACGTTTGAGTTGATGTTGACTTGGTAGGGGTGGTTTCGTGACTTCGGTAGGGGTGGAGTTTAGAATTTTTCGCTAGCGAATCGAAAAGAATTCAAAATATTGTGTACGACTCTGGAACAATGAATCGACACTCCAAATTAACAATTCGTAAATACATTAACGCGCTATGATAAAAATGGTAGAATTCGAAGAAACATTTGAAGGAACATGGAAAATTAAAAATAATTTCTAATATTGTATACGACTCTGGTACAATTAATAATCGTAAAGTCATAAATATATATTTATGCACAACGATGAGAATTGTACACCTTCAATTTCGCATCTAACGTAATACCTTTCGTTTCAGGTGCTGGTGGCCGGACAAGGTTTGAACGATGACATGTGGCACACGTTGCGATTTTCCAGGAGATCGAGTGCTATGAAGTTTCAAATTGATAACGAGCCTGCTGTACGAAGTAAGTCACTAGAAATTATAACGAATCATCCGAGAATTGTTAGGCGTGAATTCAAAAATTGTTAAATTATTTTTAACAATTCTTTCAACGTGTATACTTCGATTAGCACTCCGATTTCCGATTTGTATATCAACTTTTTTTAAATAAAATGATAGAAGTACTGCATTGGAAACTTCGCTATTGATTAAAAATTCTTAAAAAAATATATAAATTGACAGACATCGAGAGGGAGAAAATTTCAAATACTTAAAAACAAAAATGAAATGAAACTGTATTTCACGTTAAACGAGTGAAAACTTAACGCGATAACTGCTCGAATGTATTCTAGGAATCGCTATAGGGTGTTTTCATTCGTCACGTATTACCGGAATGAAATTTTTCTGTCGACATCAGGCTACCTCTTGTCTATCGACGCTATTCCGCGCGTTTCGCTTTTTCGGTTACGCCAGAGGCGTCATCGAGTCACACATCGGTGATCTCGTTCGTGCTTTTCGTTCGCGGACGAGGTACGAATACAAAAAGAGGCTCGTTCACGCTCGAATTCGGATCCGTTCGACCGCCAACGAGTCTGACCGAAGAGAGAAAATGTTTCCCGTCGACGTTTCGAGGCCCGATAATCGCACGCGCGTGTCGGTACATCGCGAATCGACGTAATCGACCATAAAGCAGACTGCGATCCACGAAACGCGAACGGAAAACCCCTTAAGGCGTGCACACCACACGATTAACCCTTTCTTCGTGCCGAACCAACAGGCTGGCATCATTCACACGATCTGCTCCCACATTTTTTAGTGTCAGTGATTCGAAACGTAGAGAATGGTAGAGTGCTAATTACACTAGTGTACAAAATAAAAATAAAGAATGTACATTCAATGCAACAATTATTTTTCTTATGTATTTTGGACTACTAAACTCGAAAATTGTAATGAAAATTTCTCTCCAATTTTTATAGGAAACGTTTATTTATTTAATTCGTTTCGATTGGAAATACGATTAGAAATAATTTTGGCGTTTGCTTCGTCTTCTGCCCTTCTTTGAGACCATTTCTCTTAAAAGAAACCTGAAGATCTCACGGAATAAAGATCGTTTCTCTTTAACCAAATTTTTTAATATTTATCTTCTCGATTATTTTCAAACAGCAGTATCGGAGGAAAATTTAAAAATGTGTCTTAGGACGAGCCACTGAATGGTCCCAGCCTCTAACCCCATCTAACGGGTACCCAGTAAATAATGTAATCGAGAACGAGAATCGCGAGCAGTAACTTCAGTAAAATTTCAGAAACAAAAGCAATCTGAAATTCGCTCGTCGCCATTTCCGACGCAGACAGTCCGAAAACTAATCAACTGTTTCGCAGCTGCATCGGACGTACAATTCGCTGTGCGAGAGACATATTCTTGAAAGTCGAACTTCGCGTCCCCGGATCGCTGGGATCCACGTTAAAAAATCACGGTGATTTTTTGGCCGACAGAGGGTGGTTATTTCGAGAATGCTTTCATCGAGCTTTTGCAGTCTCTTTTTTTTTTCTCGTTTTTCGATTGGTCCTTTTTTTTTTCATTCTGGTACCGATAGAATGCGAGTTCCTGACGCGAGTAAACAATAGGTTGGATAATCGAGAAAATGTTTTTTCGTTGAAAATGATGTAAATTCAATTTTTGACAAAATTGGGTTAAGGCTGGCCATGGTCGCGAACAGACATGACACAGTTTATTTTATTTTTAACCAACTTCGAAAAGAGGAGGTTACTCTATTCAACATGTATATATATATATATATTTAGTCACACTTTTAGTCAATTTGTTGTTTGAATAAATATATATATATTTAGTCACACTTTTAGTCAATTTGTTGTTTGAATCGTAGTTGAAAGGGTGTCACTTTGTTGCATTCGCAAGATACAATCACTGTATCCAGTAAAACAAGAAATAATTCTGCTGTAATAGCTACGATAGATCGTCGCTATTACAAAGAGTTTATACTTCCCTCTGTTGTCTTCGATGACTTCTGCGTTATCAATATAAAGCACCTAAAACTACGCATCCTCAAAATCAAAATCAAAATAAAACGGTTCAGTAGTTGTATCGAAATGCAGAGAAACAAAATAAATAAAAAATCGGAGAAACGTAAAACTTTCCATAAAAAAAAAAAAAGTCATCGCGAGCCAACGAAACTGCTTCGAAATTGCTTTTTCCTGGTTCCGATTCGTAAAAATGTTTCGTTTAAAGGCGAAATAAGTAGGGAGCACGCCGCGACAAGGAAGCCTTTGTTCCGCGATCTATCGAACGTTCCTCATCGCCTCGAACCTAATCGGATTGCCTTTCATCGCTGGTAACAGACACTCGAATCGAAACGCGACTACGATGCCGTTGCTATTTACGATACGCGATCGTCGTCGACGCAACGCTTCGAAACCAATCAAGTGTTTTACGTCTGGTATCGACGCGCAATTTACTCCTGCAACTCTGCCCGCGCTCCTTACCTGTTGTTCCCAAACTTTCTCGTTTCATTTGCGTCGGTACACAACGTAACGGAATCCGGGAAATTTACGACGAACCCGTTGAATTCTCAATGTTATCGCGGTTCACCTTTCCGCGTTTTCCCGTTAAGCGTGAAAATACAATTTTTTGAAGCATCCACGTTGAATTTTTTACATTTCTCTTTTATTTTTAGCAAATTTCGATTCCATTGTTTTCGTTCTATCGCATTCACGCGGTGTTTTTTAACGATAAACTGCGGACGTATTGTTTTTCGATTAGCGCGCGTATTTCGTCGTTTCCAAAACGACAGGATCGGTCGAAATATTCTTTCGCTGGCTGAAGCGAAACAAACAGAAATTCGTTTCCTCTGTGAACAACGTCGCACGTAAAACCGTTACCAGTCTGCCAGAAGCAGTCGACCACCCCCGAATCGGTCGGAAACATTCTTCGGGAACGTGCGTCAAGTTTGAAACATATCTTTTTCAAATTGTTTTTCGACCAGCACCGATGGAACTTGATCTTGAAGTTATTATTGAAACGATATTGGAAGGCTAGGTCTTTATTCGTTCTTGAAATTAATATTTAAAGAAATCGATGACCACGATCAAATTCTCTCGAAATTTTTCGAAATTTCAAAGAAGATCATTTATTTTTATCGTTACATTGTAACAAATTTATAAAATACGTTCTTACGTTTCGAGTGAGTTGACGAATATTATTTACAGAAGTGAAACAAAAGAAGTAACCAAAAAATAAAAATTAATATCCTAGACACTTCCAAACAACGAAACTTTCAATTCGCTTCACGTTTGTTTCATTCGTTCCTCATTCTTTCAATACAATTCTGTCCATCCACTAGGCGACGGATCAACTCCTGAAAAAAAAAAAGAAAAAGATTTGTTTCTCGTGTACGGTTCCCTCTAATCCTTGTACTTACGTTTCCCTTATACCTGAACTTGTTTCGTATAGGCTCTCGAAAAAAAACGAATCTCGAGGGTTGGAAAACGTTCCGAGTCGAATCGCGCGACTGGTCGACGCGGGAGTGTGATTTAATAAATTCCTGTCGGCGGCACAGTTGTTGTGCGAGACTTCCACGGAATACCCCGTTTAATTGCGAGCACGCGGTATTAATTCTAATTGATGTTAATTAAAACAGACACGGAACACCAAAGCCTCGCGTTTCCGCGCGCGATGTATCATTTTACCACTCGACTTTGCATTTTGCAGGTAATCAGTTTCGATTAGCCTTCGCGCGGGAAAAACGATCGAATTAATAACGGTGTTATGGATGGAACAGCTGGGAAGTCGTGCTTCTTTAAGGGAAAACGCAGAGGCCAAGGTTACCAGTAATTATTCAGACAACATTTTCAAACTTTGTACTTTTCATATAGTTTTCGACGCCGAATTCAATGGCGCGAACAAAGAAGTGTACGAACAATTTTTGTTGCATTAAAAAAAAAAAATTGTAAAATTACACGGAAGAAGCGATCGTAGAGAAACGTTTTAATACAGAGACCAAAATTAGACCTGAAAACATTGCGCAAATATACGAGGCTTGGTCTGCGACAAAAACGAGTTTTGTTAATGAATGAACTCTGTATCTTCTGATAACACAGCGAATTTCTATTCGACATCAACTGTGGAACTGTTTATTCAGGACCTACCTTAGAATCCTTAGAATCAAACCTTAGAATCAAAATCCTTGCAATCATACAGTTACACGGAACAAATTATTCTAGACATTTTTTTACCGGAGAGGGTTGAAGTCACAGCTAAAAAATTGTACGAATATACGAACCTTGATTTTAAAACTAAAATTAATTTGAATAACGAATTAATTAATCCATCGCACGTTACACAAGTACGCGACAGCGTCAGAGATGCTAATTCCACCGTCCCGTTACTTCCTTTCTAACGTGTCGCGGATCCACCCTTGAGCATTCGTTTCGATCGTGCCTGGAGCGCAGCTTCTCCAACGATGCTGGCCCCACCGTACAATATCGTATTTCAAAATCCCTATTTAGCATAAATATTCGGGCAACAGCCGAGGCGACGGGCAGCAATTCCGCCAGGAATTCCCGCGTTCAAGCTCCGAAAGGGATGGAAGGACAATAAGCTCGCGGAGAAAGAAATACGAAGGAGCGGAAAAGTAAAGGAAACTGGAGAGAATAAAAACTGGAAAGTAAATCTAAAAGCACGGAAGTAAGCGCGGCAGTGGGGCGGTGGCGGGGTTGGAGGGATATTTAATGGAAAACGGAAGCCAGGTCCGAGGGAATTTTATTAAGATTTCGTATCGGGATACCGATATTAGAGGAGAAAAAGAAAGCATCTCGAAAGGGAATATCAGTTTCCGCGTTGGGAAATTTTCGAGGTGAAATTATATTTCAAAGATGGCGCAAAGATGGACTCTTCTGGTACTAAAGCAATTTATGAGTTTGGCGTGCTTCGAAGAGAACGGTTCACTGAATTGAGAATATTTTTCGTGGGGATCTATTCATTCAGGCGTAGATAAATAATGGACAGAA